TTCCTCGACGAGGTGATGATGATGGAACAGGAGGGGCAGGGCAGCCCGGGATTTGTTGAGACATTTACGACCTTAGCTTCCTCCATTTTAAACACTTGACACTAACATTTTAATATTTGTTGTTAGAACATATTGAATTATGCTACATTCGCATTTGAAGTTTGCATTAATCTAGATTTGAATTAGCAATTTGGGTGTTTGAAATCTTGTTTGGAATTATATGTGTGAAGATTGAATGTGTTTTTCCCCCCACACACCCCATTGTAATAGGTAGTGCTGAAAACAGCAAAATTCTGGTTCTAGCAACAGGTCATCTACGACGGACTGACCGTCGCTACATTTGTCGCTGATCTGCGACGGAGGATTCCGTTGCTAATGCCGTCGCAGATCTGCGACAGTTTTCTATATCCGTCGCAGATTTTGCTGGATGGAAAAAATGAAAACCCCGTTGCAGTTCCGTCGCAGATCTGCCACGGATTTTAAAGTTCGTCGCAGATTTTGAATCTGCCACAACTTTTCTGCGACGAAAAATAGAAAAATAGAAATCTGCCACGGAAAATTAGATTCTGCCACGAAATTTTTCCGTTGCAGAAGAGGAATTTTCTTGTAGTGGATGCAGCCTGGAAAGGAAAAATAGAGAGTTTAGAAAAAAAATTGGAAAAAACAAAAATGGCTCAACGAGAAGAAAGAAAACGTCATCGCGAGGTTGAAGAAGAAATGGATGATTTAAGAAACAAAATGAGGTCATTCAATGCATCAATGTCAAATGTTTATCGAGGACTAATAAAAAAAGAAATAATTCAAGAGAGTGAAGTGAATACTTTCCTAATTGCTAGTGGATCTAAATCTGGAAGCAAAAAGAAACTCCCTCGCCCATCAAGAACAGAATAGCCCCCCTTTGAACCTTTTTCAAATGATAGTGAGGACTCAGACAATTCATTATGCTCTTCAGATGATGATGAGTTGGATCACAGGTAGATTCAAAACTTAAAAAAAAAAGCAAGTATTCAACTTTTTCATATCTTATTGGCTAGGTAACAATTTTATACTTGTTTTTTTGGTAGATGTAGAAGAAGATGAAGAGTAAACGCTCTGCAAGCACACAAGTAATGATGGCATTGTCATAAATAAGAGCTTGGTACAATGATGTTTTTGAGTCTTGGACATGTTGAAGAATGAAGTTGTTTTGAGGAAGTATGTTTGCTGCAATTACATTGTTTTGGATCATGATGAATGTGTTTATTTAATGTTATTTCTTTGGTGTACTTATTTGTAAAAAAATTGATGTTTTTGTAGCAAGTTTTAGATCACATTGGACATGTGTTACAATATTAAGATTGTTTAAGACATTTTTTTGTTGGGTTGCTTTATTCTAAAAAAAGTAAAAAATATTTTTCCAATAACATCAATTAATATCAGTAATTTGTTTTTAGGCTATTAATATCAGCAATTTGTTTTTTTAATATTTAGATTTTGAGACAGATTTTAGTCTCTAAAATGAATAATTTTGAATTATGGTTGGCCAAGTTTATACACATAAGAGACGGAGTTCTGTCTCTTTTCTATGCCGTCTCATTTCCGTCCCCAAGAAAAAGAAATGGAATTCTGTCTCATTTCTATGACGTCTCATTTCCGTCCCAAACAAAAAGAGACGGAATATTCCTGTCTCAAATTAAAAGAGACGAAATTAATGAGACTGATGAATTAGTCTCTTTTTCGTCTCACGTTCGAGACAATTATGAGACTAAATTACCGTCTCTTTTCTGCCTGCATTCTTGTAGTGCAATATATTGATGAAAAAGCTTAGCTTATGGTATATATACTCCATCCCTTTCCTAAAAACATTAGAGAATGTGATTTTTAAGGATTCTAACAAAAGTGTACTTTGACATTGAGTTTCCAAAAATGTTCTTAGAAATGACAGATAAAAGTATGTTTTGATAGATAGATAGATTAATAGAGAATAGATGTGATGTGATAGATAAGTGATGGCTATAAACCACCGTGTATATCAAATAGTATGAGTTAGAGAGAGAGAATGCAAAATAGGAGTTTGTTCACTTCAAATTCGGATCCTTTACAATGAGGGGTCTCACCCCTTTTATAGGGGATACAATACATTTAGTCAAATCCCTCTGATCGAGGTTCGTCAGCTAGCGGACGTCACTTGTCCCATGGTCTTGTCCCTTTCATCCCATCGCTATTGCTTGGTCAACGTGGCCGGTCGCTATCCTCCCGTCGCTGTCATACTCCCGAGCCGAGCCCAAGGAATAACCGAGCTCGTGGGCCGAGCACGGCGTTCTTCCACGTGGCTGAGGGGGTCCAACTGACATGTATTTGGGGTCATCCTCCATCAATAAGTTAAGAATTCGTATGGGTAAAAGTGATTGTTAAATAGAAATGAGAAAATTTTTTTGGAACGGATAAAAAAATAAAAAAAGAAAAATATTTTCAAGAAGGAAGAGACTATATACTCCCTCCGTTCCAAAAAGATTGTTACGTTTTATTTTTTGCGCATCCCTTAAAACACTTTTATATCGTCTCAAATGCCAAAAAAAACTTTCAAAACAATTTCATCTTATAATAAAAAGTAAATATGGTAAATTTTAGAATTTTTAGATGTGAGTAGCAGTGTTTTTTGTGATGCGCAAAAAAATGAAATGTAACATTCTTTTTGGGACGGAGGGAGTATATAATAGTGTGGCTTCATTCCAATTTCCAAATCAACTTCAAATCATAGCCCAACCAAACATTCAATTCAAGACTCATTTAGGGGGTGTTTGTTTTTTCTGCAGGAAAAGGTCTGCGGTCTGCGGACCACTACTGTAGACATCTGCAGGAGAAGTGGTGGACCGAAGGTCTGCGGTCTGCAAGAAGAAGACTGTTTGTTTTTTTAATATCTGTAGACTGCTATATAAATTAATGGTGGTAGTGTATGGTGGTGGTGTATGGACGATTGTGGTGGTGGTGGACGTTGACGGAGGTGGTGGTGGACGGTGGTGGCGGTGGCGGTAGATGGTGGCGGTGGTGGTGGACGACGAT